GGGATTACAGGCTGAGCCACTGCGCCCAGCTTCAGCTAACTTTTTTTTTTTTTTTTTGCAGAGTTCAGCTGTTTATTGAACACACTATAAAAGGGTTAGTCAAACAGACCAAAGTCCATGTCGTCATCAGACTCCTCAGACTCTTCCTTCTTTGCTTCTACTTTCTTCTCCTCGGCTGGGGCAGCGCCAGCTGCAGGTGCAGGCCCGCCAGCCCCCACAGAACAGATGAGGCTCCCAATGTTGACATTAGCCAGGGCCTTTGCAAACAAGCCAGGCCGGAAAGGTTCCACGGTCACCCCGGCGGCCTTAATGAGGGTGTTGATCTTATCCTCCGGGACGGTCACCTCGTCGTCGTGTAGGATAAGGGCCGAGTAGACGCAGGCGAGCTCGGACACGGAGGCCACGTTGCAGCGAGTGCGGAATGGAGCTGCCGGGCGCGGTGCTGGTCGCTGGATGAAGTGAGGGCCTCACCCCAACGCGGCCTTAGCTCCCTCAGAAGAACCGAGCACCTTGGCGGCAGCTGGGGAAAGGCTAACTTTTTGATATATAGACATATATTTAGAGATGGGGTCTTGCCGTGTTTCCCAGCCTGGTCTTAAACTCCTGGTCTCAAGTGATCCTCCCACCTCGGTTTCCCAAAGTGCTGGGAAGACAGGCATGAGCTGCCATGCCTGGCCCGAGTCTGGGGTCCTCTCGACCAGCTGTGGGTCCCCGAGCGTAGCCTCCTCCCCCCATCCTCGCCACCTGCTCCCTGGGAGGGCCTTCAAACCATCCACAAACCCTGCCTTTTGGACAAGAGCGCCAACCTGCCACCCAGGTGTGGCCCGGCTTTCCCTCCCTAGAGCCATCCCCAGATTTCCACACTCCCGGCCGCTGGAGTAGGTCTGGACGTGAAGGACAACGGCCCGAGTGGCCGGGACACTCGCCCCGACTCCTAGCACCTCCATGCTGCTTGCTTTTTCTTTCTTTACCATTCCTTCCCCCTCTCCCGACCAGTCTTCGGGCTGTTCCTTCTTTGCCTAAACCCTTTCCCCTGTTTAGTCCTCAAGTGCAATTTTACCAACATATGTTAGTTTCTCAGGATGTTCTGAATCTACTGATCTGTCTTGGGCCACCTTTCTTCAGCCGTGTGTGTGTGTGTGTTTTCAAATTTGGGACTTCCGTCAGCAGATTCTTTCACCTCTTCTAAGTCAAGTCATTTAGAATGAGCACTAGTGTTTTTCAGCTCCTGGTGTCTGTGACACACTCTGAAATACAATTCGTGTGGCTTATCTCTCGAGGGGTTGAAAAAGTCAAGGCCATAGCGATCACGGCGGCGGTCGTTGCAGCACAGTCACTGCTACAGTACTCGAGGGTCGGGGCTGAGGTGTGAGTCCTCTGGCTGTTCTGGGTGCTGGCTGCTGTGGGGGGGACGGTTTCTTGCACATGGGAGCAGACTCAAAACTCCTACACCTTTCAGTTAACATGAGCCTTGGGTCCACGGTGAGCCCCGCCTGGCTCGGCTCAGCTCATCAGTTCCTGGAAGCAGGGACGGTTGGCAGAGAGCACCTGGGGCCCCAGGCTTGGTCTCCACGGGAAGGACCCTGGGCTCCTCGGGTCTGCCGGATGCTGCTGTTACCGCTGTGGACTTGGTTACAGCCACAGTGGATTTTACATTCCCAGCCAATGTGTCACACGTGCTGTGGGGAAGCCCTGCTCTGAAACGAGAAGGAGCCTGGCCGGACACTGGCCCTGCAGTGACTGTTCTCAGTCACTGGTCTTCCTCCAAGTCCATCTGTGCTGCCCAGTCTGGGTGTAGAGGTCTGTCTTTCCCTCTCTTCTTGATGATCTGTAGGAACGAGCTGTCATCAGTGACTGAAACAAGCCACGTCCAGGCTTCTTGCTGTCGGAGGAAGGAGAAGGAGGGAGGGGATGGCCAGAATGTGCCTACATGCTAGAAGAAGGGGTCGGAGGTATTCGTGAATAACTGTAATATGTGTGTGTGTACATGTGTGTGCCTGCTCTGTCCTCTGTCAGGGCCTAGAAGCAATGACATGTTAACAGAGAGCACCCAGTACTCAAATCTTGGTTTCTACTCAAAAGACCCAGGGCTGCTTGGAAAAAAGACAGAGTCCCGGACCAGGACGGGATGCGATAGCTGGATTGGATGGGCCAGATCTGGGACAATTTGAGCATCAAAACAGATAAAGATGGTAATGGATTATCACTAATGAAGCCAAACGAGATTCTTTACGTCTGTCCTAATATAAACAAGTGAATGAATGAATGAATGAATGGGGGAGAAGAGAAAGCCCTCCTGACAGTAGAGTGCTAACCAATAAGTGCAGAAAGGATGCAGGAATAAGAAGAGAAGCCATGGATGCTCAGGTTTGACAAGGTGCAGGCTAGTCACAGAGAGGGCGGGACTGTCAGGCACACCTTCCCTACACTCCCTCCCCGGCAGAGAGCCCAGTTAGCCCCATCACCAGAGAGAAGGCGGACTGAAGGGGCCGCCCTCCTCCCTTGCAATGGTTGGGGAGAGGGAGAGTGCTGTTTCAGCCCCTCAAGTCACTGAGCTGCTGGCCACTTGGTGGTGCAGTGGGCGGCGTACCCGACAGCTTCTCTGGCATCCAGGGTCTTTGCTGTCACTTCTCAATCTTGGGCCAAGTGCTGAGTTAGCTCCAGGGTGAGGACTGCCAGCTTCCTGGGCAGGACACGCCATTGTGGACGTTGGATCTTGGAGGTCAAGGCCAGAGACCGATATGGGCTTTGACTCAGCCCACAGGATCCAGGTTGTTCTTGCTTCCGCCACGTCACGTCCATCTTCCCGTCCAGACTGCCCCGCGGACCTTGGGCTCCAGCACGACAGAACAGCTCCCACAGACCATGCGACCAGCTGCACGACTGCACGGCAGTGGGGTTCTGCTGCACTGAGATTCTCGGGACCCGAGAATCGTCGCCGCCATCGCCATCACTGTCACCATCATCACATCACCAACATCGCCATTGTTGTTTTCATGGTCATGGCTGGCTGGTCCACACAGCCGCGAAGCATTTTCCCACAAATCAGCAACCAGTGACAATGACGAGAAAAAAAAAAGGGCCACCGCTGGCAAACGCCACCTTAGACAGGTAGTCAGAGTTGACAGCCCTACTCCTGGGGCAAACCAATATCTCGTGCCTCCCGGTAGGACCACTGAGACGCACGCACCGTTTCTTCTGCGATTCCTGCGAGAGCCAGGTGACCCCACACTGAGGGACATTCTGCCAATAGCTGGCTGGGTTCAAGACCAAGAAAGACAAAGGCGGAGGAGGTGTTCCGGCGTGACGGAGTCATGACAACGAATGCAGCCCGTGATCTGGATTTGGCTGGAATTCGGGACAAAATCACCCAAAAGGACAGGCAACCCTTGACTGTGCACCGAGGATTTGATAATAATACTGCGCCAAGGTTCAGCGTCCTGATTCTGATCGTGGCACCCTGCTCACGCGTGAGTGTCGCTTAGTAGGAAGTTGAGAAAGAGGAGGCTGTTCTTAGGAAATATACACGGAAGTGTGGAAGCAAAAGGG